CTTGACGGAATTAGCCACAGCCGACACCCGGCACAGGGACACCGGACACAGGTGTGACCACCGAGGGGGCTCGGGCCAGCAGGTGCAACGTGAGAGGACAGGCTTGCATGTGCTGGGGGAGGGCGGACAGAGAATGATAAAGCGAAAGTGGAAAAATGTCAACAACGGGGCACCTGGGCCGAGGGAACATGAGTTCTTGTTTTAACTTTGCAACTTTTCTGAAAGTCTGCAGTTTGAAATTAAAACGTGTACGGTCCAGGGTGACCGGGTGGCTGGGTCGGCTAAGAGTCCGACTCGTGATTTTGGCTCAGGTCATGATCTCAGGGTCAGGCTCCGCACTCAGCAAGGAGTCTGCTTGGGTCTCTCTCCCTCTGCCCCGTCTGCTCCCCTCTGCTCAGGTTCTCTCCTGGGTGCAGTCTCTCTCTCTCAAACAAATAAATAAATCTTAAAAAAAAAAAAAAAAAGCGTCCCATCCACAGCCTGGTCTTCAGTGTCCTTGTTAAACCCACGAGCCATGCTCCTAGAGATCTTCCACATCAGCCCACGAGCCACGTTCCTAGAGATCTTCCACATCAGCACACAGAGCTCGGCCACATCCCTTCTCACGGCTGCGCGACACTGCTCTGCTTGCACGACCCTTTCTACTGAACAAGTCCTCCGTTTCCGGAGGCAGGGCTCTACGAGGGAACGACACCTCGCCGCCTATAAAACATGACCCTTACGAACGCTGCCATGTGCACGGTGTTGGAAAGAAGTACACACCTCGCCCTCTGAAGCCCTTGAGTGTTTTGGAACATTCAGTCAAGCAGAGACAGACCCACGCCCGCCCCAACCCCAGAGCGTGGCGTGTGGGGCCATCCCTCCGCACCGCACCGCGCATCGCTCACGTCCCTTGGGACACCTGGAGTTCTAAGGTAAGGCTCAGACCCAAGAGGTGAGGAGAGACTTGAAGAAATGCCCGGGAAAGCAGTTCCCAACGACCCCTGCTCTGGTTGGCCCCTTTCCCCAAGGTCACGGAAATCTCAGGCATTTGGATGTTCTGCCCCATGCGAAGCCAAGGACGCTAATGCGGAGGGAGAGTTTCCATTCAGCCAGAGCGCTCTACGGAACTATTTTCCAGTGCTTTCCAAAAGGTAGCCCCCATGGCCCTGGGCCAGAGCAGGCCAAGCCCACCGGGGCTCGTGCCGCCGGCCCGGTCACAAGGGGCTCCACCGCCTCGTCCGGGAACACGGCCACACAACGCAGCAGTGTCCCCTGCTGAGGCCTCGGGGACACGTGACAGGGACGAGATAATTCTGGTTGTCACGACGGAGGGGTGCTGCTGGCGCTAATGGACAGAAGCCAGGGACACAGCTCAGCACCCTGCAGGCCCCTGGAACGAAGACTGAGCCACCACCGACAGGTGTCAACAGTGCCGAGGCAGAGACACCTACTGCACCTCTCCTAAGTCCTTTCTTCCCCCAACATCAAAATCCCCAGGCCGTCCGGCCCTGCTCACACCCCACCCCCAGCACCCACTCTCTCTCCGAGCCCAAGCCCTGCACAGTCCTTGTCTGCCCAGCGGCCAGAAGGTCACCCTGCAGACTGCTAGTGGGCATGGCTGGCTTGGGCAGACACTCCCCGGTGCCATGGCCAAGGCAGACGAGCCATCCTTGTTTCCCCAGGATCTCACGGAACATTCCCTTGATGCCGTCTATGCCCCCAGCCCTGGGGCTGAGAGACGCTGGAGCAGAGCGAGGGGCCTCCCCAGGAACCTGGCAGGTGCCCCATATGAGAGTAGCCCCAGGGACACAGAAGGCTCCCAGGGAGGGTGTGACCCCCTTTCGCAGAGTGTCTCCAGGAAGAACAAAGAGACGAGACGCCCACGTGAGAGCTGTTTCCTTAAGGAGCGTGATTCTCCCTGCCCCGCGCCCAAGCCCGAGTTCCCGGTGGCGGGGGGAGGCACAGCCTTCCCCATCGGGCACGCTCGCTCTTCTGCACGTTGGTGGTGCACGTTTATCCTGCAAAATAGCCTCAGAAGAAACGCACGTCTGCCCGTCAGGTCGCCAGTCCTTAGTCCTCCCGAGCCGCCCCAGACCAGGTGCTGCAGGGGCTCCACCAGGCCTGGCAAAGACCAACATGTTTGTGCAAAGCAGCTGCTTCAGAGACACCTTCCCAGGGAAGAGCCCAGCGCTCGTGCATCTTCCCTTCACGGAGGGCAAATGACCCTAACAGACGTTCTCGTCTACGATGTCATCAAGCAGAGAAAAAGTGAACAGACTTTGGCCCGTTCCCTGCGTGGGAGGCCAACTCACATGGACCCCACCTCACTGCGTCTGGCTTCCGGCTGGCTTTGGCCCATGGGAGCCCAACAGGGGATCAGAGGGAAGGCAGGGCGAGCCTTCAGAAGGGCCTCTGGGGAGGTCACTGTCCCACTTAAGTGGCTTCTCTCCGTGACTCTGTCCTTGTGGGCTCTGCCCTCCGCCTGTCCCTCCAGCCTGGCTGCTGCCCCCATCCAGGATCACACACCAGTCCTCATGGACGCCCCCCACCCTGCCCCTTGCTGGCTCTTCAAGGGCTCCCCGTTTCCTGTGAGGACCCTGCCTGATAAGACAAGCTGGCCAGACTCGGGGCGGGGGGTCCACGGAGCTGCCGTGGGTCCCACACAGGACGCAAGACATGCACGGCAGACCACACCTCGGAGGTCAAGGAGGTCAAGGAGGGCATGTGAGCCAGAGCCGGGCAGCGGGAGAGCAGGGCGGGTGCAGGAGGGTGCCTCGGACTCTCCACCATTCCTCCCTCTCGGGCTGCCCGAACTACTCGGACATGCTGTCTTACGCACAACGCAGGGGAGGGGCCCAGAGCTGAGGTACTTGGGGGGGCCCAGGCAGGTGGGGCTGCACCAAGGGCCACAGTCAGCACAGACCACGGAACCGGGGTCCAGAGGGCAGAGCCACCAGCCCTTAGGGACCATTTCCTGAGTCACGTTCACCCCTTATCCCGGGGCTGCAGACCCCGCCGAAGAACGTGGCCGCATCTGGGCACGTTAAGAGCCCCGGGCGCGTTGGGGCACCTGGGGGATTCTATGGGTGAAGCCTATGCCTTTGGCTCAGGTCATGATCCCAGGGTCCTGGGATCGAGCTCCACATCGGGCTCTCTGCTCAGCGGGGAGTCTGCTTCCTCCTCTCTCTCTGTCTGTCTCTCTGCCTACTTGTGATCTCTGTCAAATAAATAAATAAAGTCTTCAAAAAAAAAAAAAACAGCCCCAGGCGCGGAGTCCTGTGGAAACAACACACCCCCTCCCCCGCCCCCATGAGACAGCTGTGTGACCCGCAAACCCCACCACGGAAGCCTGACGACAACCACTCGGTTCCTCGCGTGGAATCACCTCGGGCAATGGAGGAAGCAGCTGAGCCCCAGGAAAGGCGCGGCCTAGTCCCGGGCCGAGGGCCTGGCTCAGCGCTGCCGGCCCTGGGAACGGAAGCCGCAGGCTAAGAGGACGCACCCCGGCGCGGCTCCCGGCGGGAGGCTCCCTCCTCTGGGACATTCCGGGGGCGCGCTGAGGGGGGACATTACCCGTGGGCAGGCCCCTGGCGGGTGCTCCCAGTACACAGGTGACGGCCAAGGGTGACGCATTGGGACCCAAGCAGAGGTGACCCCACTAGGGTCCCGACCCTGCCCAGCGGAGACGCGTGGCTGCTGGGTCATCCACGGTGATTCCAGAACATGCTACGTGCCGGCATCCCGACGGGGACGCCAAGGCCGACACGGCGCCAGAGCCCAACACCGTCAGCTGGGCCGGGGAGGCGGATTCCCACGTAAGCAGACCGAAGTCACAGCTGGACCTTCTCTGCTTCCGACAGGACCTGGGCTCCAGACGGGCCCCTCGGCCTGAGCAGGCGGACTGGCACCCCGGCTGGCGTGCAGCCACTGAGAAGCACACGGCTCCAGAGAGCGTGGGCCCCCGGCGTCCAGCCCCATGAACACCACAGGGGTGAGGCCCAGAGGCAGACGGGACTGGCTCAGAGGCCCACAGGGGCCAGACCATGGGGCGGGACGTGCTTGGTGGCAGCACCTCTTGGCCCTGGGGAGGTGGGAAATGAGAGATACCCCAGTGCTGACCTTCCCCTCCCTGTACTCAAGGGCACGGGCGACACTCCAGCAAAAACCTGGATACATACAGGCCAGAAAAACCACTAACTCCAAGTCCCCATCCTAGGGCTATTGGGGGGGGGGGCTGTGTCAGCCTCACAGGAGCTCTGCCACCAATCTATCCTCATCGTTTCTGCTGGATACAGGAAAGTGGCCCAGATTCCACGGACAGAGAACCCACAGAGAACCCAGGCTCTCTCCACCCATCTGTCCTGCCGACTGGGGCAGACTCAGGCAGACAGAAGAGCCCGGAGCTCAGAGGGACTCGGCCACACACTACAGAGACACAGCCCTGTCCTCGGGGGGCCGCTGACCCTCCAGGACACAGGGGCACCATCTCCTCACCTGTGCCCAAAAGAAGGCTGCTGTCCCTCACCTTCCCATGGGGGAGCCGCCCCGGAGTTCCCCGGGAAAGAGAAAAGTGGTTTGCCAAATCCATAGCGAGGGAAAATGGAGCATTCTGATGAAAACACTTAACGTGTCTCCTACAAGCCCGTGCACGGTCAAATAAAACGAAACCCAAACGGCCTACAGCTTCACAGCATTTCCTCCAAGACCCTTCAGACTCTGCCTCGGGTCACGTCCAGGTGGGAGCGGATAACTCGGGCTTTGGGTTCACGTGTGAACCGGCCAGGAATCGAGGCCACCAGTAATGCTCGAGCCCAGGCAGCCACAACGTGTGATCCCCTTCCGTGCCTTCCTCTGCCGCGGGGTGACCCCTGGGGGTCCCGAGTCTCCCCACCCCAGCACACACACCCTCAACAAATGCTCATTGCCTCAATCACTTTTCCAGTCAGTATAGACGTTTTTAAATTGCAGAGCACAAGTGACTTAGGACACGGGAAGCGTGGGGGAGGGGCGCGTCCTACCTTGTTGTAATACTGCACCTGGACCGAGTGCCAGCGCCCGTCGCTCACGCCCCCGGGGACCTGGGGTGTCACCGTGGTCGTAGTCTCACCTGCGGGGGGGGGGGGGGGGGGAGAGGTCGGAGAGAACACACATTAGCGGGCCACGAATAAGACAGTCCAGAAAAACGCTCTGTGCCGACAGTGAGGATAACGCGGTTAACAGGTTCTCAAATACTGCTGACGGAGAGACGTACAGTGACTCCCCGCCTGGAAATCTGAGCTAGGTCTTCCGTATTTTCGGTGTCATGGAGCACACCACAATGAACGCCACTGTGTGCTCTGGATTCCTCCCCCTCCCCCCCAGCACAGATTCCTACTGGAAACAGGGGAGCGGCGGGTGAGCACACGGAAAGGCGCTGCCCAGGCTGGGGTGGTTCCCACCGACAAGGTGCCCGCGCAGGGCTCAGGGAGCTGCTCCTTCTGGGGAGGGGGGGCCCACCTGCTGAGAAGGTGAGCTGCACCTGCTCACCCACGATCTCCAGGGCGATGAAGTCGTGCTTCTCGTTGAAGCGCCCGTTGTAGAGCAGCAGGGCGTCCCTCTCCCGGGTGGCAAACCTGCGGGGCCAAGCAGGAGCACGTCACAGAACGAATGAGCCCCGCGCAGAAGGTGTGCAGGCAGTGGAAGCCAGAGGCGTCCACGACACGGCACGGCCAGTCCGCCACGGCTGAGCACGGGACCACACTCAGGGAAGACTCTGATGCCCGGGCGCTCATCTTTCTCATCAGCGGTTGACAGCCCATAAAACCTGCTTAGCGATGTTCTTTTCTGGAAGCAGCGAACCAGACTGCACAGAGGAATCTGATTTCCACGGGCTGTAGAATATGAAAAGATGACATCCGAACGGTGTCCTAAAAGCCACTGAACCAGTCAGAGATGTCTGAACAGGAGCACGTGGTGGGCATCTTCAGCTCCTGGAAACGGACCCCCACGCGGGCTCACCAGGACACAGGTACGCAGTCCCCTCCCATGCAGGGAAGCTGTGTTGATGACTACCTCAGGGCCTCTGTCCCTTGTCTCCACCACCGGACTCCACCTACACCAGGTCTTTTCCTCCCAAACATTACAGTTCTCCCTGCCCCAGGACCTTTGCACCTGCTGCTCCCTCTGCCAAATCTTCCCCCACTCTGCAGATCTCTCCAGAGACACTCTATTATGTGCTTTATTCCGTAACTCATTTTACCCACACTGTGCCCCCAGCCCCGTCGAATCTATCACATCATGCAGTCGATTTCAGAACTTATCCTGCTTGTTTATTTGTGTTTAAGAACCTATGATCCGGGGGTGCCTGGGTGGCTCAGTGGGTTAAAGCCTCTGCCTTCAGCTCAGGTCATGATCTCAGGGTCCTGGGATCGAGCCCCGCCTCGGGCTCTCTGCTCAGCAAGGAGCCTGCTTCCTCCTCTCTCTGTCTGTCTTTCTGCCTACTTGTGATCTCTGTCTGTCAAATAAATAAATAAAATCTTTTAAAAAAAAGAACCTATGATCCTTAAGGGCGAGGGAATGACTCATTCAGTGCTGCATCCTGGAGCCCAAGATGAGGTCCACAGAAGAGCTTCATAACGATGGGCTGAACAGGTGAATGCATGGAAAGCGTGACTGAGAAAGCAGTTCGTGAAAACAAACAGACCTGTCAGACCTCACGCTTCTGAAGAGCTAAGAGCCACTTATTGCAACAAGAGCTACACCCTCAGAGGTCCTACTCCCAACCCCACGGTCCCAGGAAGGGCAACCCCTCAGACCCAGCGATCCCTGCCTCACAGCCATGCCTCTAGACACCCGCTTACAGAGACCCTAGAAGGTGTCTTATATGAACTTGGGACTGGGTCCCGAGTGGGCTGGATCGGGGGGCTGGGGGGGCAGAACTACTCCCTTTGGGTCGAGGCTGGTTTCTCTGTTTCTGCAGGAGCGTCTGTCCGAACCAGCCTCAGACATGGGCCTCCAGCCTTCCCTGAGTTCCCTAAAACGAACAGTTTTAGGGCGGCTCCTCTGCTCAAGTTTTGGGAGGACTTTCCACAGTTTCTGGAAGTCGTTCCTTCAAAATCTACTCAAGGAGGCACCGGGGCCCCGATGTCCTGGCCACGGCCACCGCTAGGGAAGCGGCGCATGGGCTGCTGGCAGGGGTGATCACCTGAAAACACTGAATCTGACAAGCAAGTGGGCATCCCGTTATGCTCCCCGCACGTTTAGTCAAATGCTTTACTTTCTAGTCTCTGAGTCTGGAGCCTCAGACTTCCTGTCGGTCTCTGCCTCCCGCAACGGGACTTCCGGTCACCTCTTAGGTCAGTCCCCAACAGGGGCCCCACCAGCCGCCCACGGTCACTACCGAGCGTGTGACGCGGACTGCCAGCCACGCCCGGGGGGGAGGGTTGCCACGACCCTACAGATGTTCACATCACGTGCCCCCAAACCAACGCCCGTCACATGCCAGGGACACGTCCACCTGAAGACACAAACGCCTCTGGTTTGGAGGGCGGACGCCCACGGGAGCGCGATGTTTTAAACGTCAAGCCACGTGGGGCACAGAGCAGCCGAAGCCATCCCACGGCAGAGCCCTCATTTTGGAGGCCGTGCCCGTGGGGTGGCCCTTCTGGGGCAGGTCTTGTGGGCAGAGAGCCAGGACGCTGGGCCGGGCAGGCGTGGCCCAGCTGAGCCGTCCACGCCAAAGGCGGACGCCACGTGCTCCTGCTGCAGCCTGGGGAACAGGTGGGCCGGGCCAAGCCCCGAAAGCCAGGCACGTCCTCTGCACCCCCAAGCCCTCACAGCACGGCCCAGACAGGGACCCCACCCCATTGGCTGTTCTAACAGAATGTGGCAGAGCCATGGACTGTGGGTCGAAATAAAACAGCAACAACCTCAAAACTGCGGGCCCCCAGGGGACCCCAGTCTCAGAATGGCTGCTACAGTCACAGGAACCTGCCGTGCAGGCCTGGAGGGCCGAGGGGATTCCCGTGTCCTGTCTCCCCGCTCAGGCCCCAGGAGGGGACGGCACCCTCAGGTCAGACGCCAGGCCTCGAGCTCCTACTTGGGCTCCGTGGGTCACAGCGCTCTGATTATTTGATTAAAGCTGGCATCTTGAGGTCACTGGCCAGGAAGAAGTGGCCGGGCACCTGCTGACCTCTGGGCACCTGGGATGTCAGGATATAGGACGAAAAGCCCCTATAGCTTCAGCCCAATGGCGGACAGGTGCGGACAGAGCACCAGGGTCGATGGCAGCCTGACCCCACAGGCAAGGACACCAGAGGGGAGGGGAACACACGAGCGGGCAGTGACCACCTGCCCAGCCAGAGCTGGAACACACGTACTGTCCAGCCTGGGGAGGGGTCCTCCCGGAGGAAGCAGCGGGGGTGGGTGGGCCAGCAGGAGGTAGGAATGCTTGGATGAGGCCATGAGCGAGGGAGGGCAGCCCCATCACAGGGCACAAGGTGCCGGCCTTGCGGGGACTAGGGTCTGTCCACAGAGGACTTGCATCCCGTTAGGAAGGATGGGCTTTACCCCGGCAGTGAGCAGGCCTGGCAGGACTCAGGCTGACTCAAGCCAAGCAGATGAGCCCGGCGCTGTCACACCAGGTCACCATGGAGAGAGGACAGGACCAAGGTGCTGGGGACTGTGAAGGGAGAAATGTCCAGACAGGGGACAGGATCTGACTGAGAGTGAGAGCTTCAGGGAGAGGCCGAGGTGGGCCCTGTGCCTCAAGCAGCTCTGAAGAGAAAGGTTCCTTTCGGGTCTGGAGGGGAGCTTGGGGACGCCTACGCGGAGAGCTCAGCGGGCCTGAACCCCGTCTCCAACGGCCCAGCCCTGCAGAGCGGGCTTCACCTGGGATCGCCACGTAATGGGGGCCTTTCCCCAGCTCTGACACCCAGGGTCCCGCCCCCTAGATTTTAAGATCCCTAGGGACATCTCTAAAATCCTTTCTGACTTACCTAATGTCACCCAGAGCGTCTCGTGCATGACAGGTGGTCAGTAAGCGCCAGAGCAAACAGCGCACGAGGGACCCAACCACGCTCAACGCTGGGAAGGCACCATGTGGCCCTCGTGCTGGCACACGCTGGCTCCCACCTCCTGCCCTGTCCCCAGCGTCCTGCCCTGTCTTGCCCTGTCCCCAGTGCGCTCACTGCACTTCCCAGGGACAGCTCTTCCCTTGATGCAGCCAGCCCAAGCCACATCCCAGCCACTCACCGAGGAGACCAGATCTCGCTCCCGACTATTCTGGGCTGCACCCCTCACCCGTTCAGGGGCAGGACCCCCAGAGAGGAGCCTGTCCTCAAAGGGCAGCTCGCAGGGGAGCCGCTTCGGGGGTGCCCGCTCGAAAGACATGGGACGCTACATTCCCACTAGGAGACCACGTAAGGGTCCCCGGAGACCACGTAAGGGTCCCCGAACAATGGCACTAAAGACAAGACAAAAAATACACCCACTTCCCTGTTAAACCTGATAGAATCTTTAAAGTAGAAAAGATAGATTTTTTTTTTTCAAATTAAGTTACACCTCAACTCTCTTGGAGAAACATCAGCAGACAGAGCGAGCAGAGCCCATGATAAGCCCACACCGTGATCCCAGGTGGGGAGCGGGGCTGCCAGGCCGCTGGGCCCCGGAACGCGAGGCAGGAAGCCAAGCCGAGTCCGCCGTCTGGCGCCAAGCGCCCTCCACCTCCGGCCACCGGGCGTCAGAGCCACCCAGGTGTCGGCGAGTGGGCAGGACCCGAAATGTAAGGGCTGGCTTCCTGCCGTGTGACCTGGGCCGTCGTAAGGGACCCATGCCGGGCTCAGCCCTCCATGGCCGCCGTCCTGAAAGTCTTCATTTTTGCCCCAGGGTCCCCCATTCCCGATGTGCAGGCACCCCCCGCCCCGATCAGCCAGCCGGTCCTACAGCCAGGCCTGACCAGCGGACACAGCCCCGCAGGCACCCGGACGGATGCGCCGCAGGGACCCACGACGCTCCGGCGACAGGAGCTCGGCAGGGGCGCGGGGCCGCACTCACGTGAGGGAGACGGTGAAGTGGAAACGCTGCCTCAGGCCTCGGAAGGTGACAAAGGACCGGGGCGGGAAGGTCCTGGTGGTCACCTCGCAGTAGGGCCTCTCGAACGCGCCGGGAGGACACACGCAGTGGAAGCCGCCGACGAGCAAGTTGACGCAGGTGCCCCCGTTCCTGCACACCCCGTGGGCGCAGCGGCCCGAGCGCGCATTCACCTCGCAGTGCTCTCCTGCAGGATGAGACAGAGGCGGGAGACGTCACCCCGAGCCCCGGGCCCCGAGCCGCCAGGGACGCCGCCTGAAGGAGCCGCGAGGCCGGGCCGGGGGCCGAGGTGCAGTGTAGACGCTGTGGGACCCGGCTTTCCCAGAACCAGACGGGCCGCACGCCTGGGGCTTCCTCCGCAGGGGGCCCCATCCCTGTCCCAGCCCTGCGGGGTCCCCACCCTCTGAGGGGCAGAGTCAAATGCAGCCGTGAGGACCCTCTCTTAGGAGAGAATTAGCTGGAAGTGATGAGACGGACAGGGGTCCTCATGTCCCCTCCGGCGCCATGCTGGGGCAGTGGCCGCGCAGTCAGAGCAGAGGGAGACTGGGGAGTCGAGGGAGCGCCCTGCACCCAGGCCACCCCCACGGGAGGCCTCCAGCCAAGCGCCGTGTCGGGCTCCCAGCTCGGCGGGGAGTCAGCTTCTCCCTCTCTCTCTGTGAGTTCGCTCAATTGCTCAAATAAATAAAATCCTTTAAAAATAAAGAAATAAAATAAAAAATAAAATGAAAGTATGGTATTCACATCTAAGAAAAAATCACTATACAAAAACACGGCACGGAGAGTGACAGTTATCAGTGGTCTCCTGCACGCCCCCCGAGGAATGAGTCGGGGACGTTGGACGCCCGGCTGGCGCTGGCCGGCCTCTGCCCCCTCTGCTCAGGGCTCTTCCTGGAGACCCTCCCGTCAGCGCCCGGGCTTCTGCCGCTGCTCGTGGCTGCACGGTATCCCACGGACAACCCACCGGCGCTACTGTCGCTGTGTGTATAAGCTATTTATAGCCTCTGCTGCTACTTCCTCTTTTTTAAAGGACTTTATGTATTTATTTGAAAGGGGGAGAGTGAGCAGAAGAGCAGGGAGAGGGGGAAGCAGGCTCGCTGCTGAGCAGGGAGCCCGAGGCGGGACTCGATCCCAGGACCCCAGGAGCATAAGCTGAGCCGAAGGCAGACGTGTCGGTCCGAAGGCGGACCCACTGGGTGCTTCTAAAGCTTCTTCTATTGCCAATTTCTTCTGGCCCCTCCGTGCTGGCCTGGCCTTCGTGCCCCCGAGGAAGGCCCTCACTGCACTGAGGCAGAGGGGACACAGTCTAGACTCGGATAATTATGACAAGCGTTTCCCCGCTGCCCTCCCAGCAGGAGGCAGAACGTAGCAGCCCCCAGCAGCAGCAGGTGCGAGCGCCCTGTGAGAGTTTCCATCTGTGGCCAACGACAGAGGCGCCCTCTGTGCGTTTAGTTCTGGGGAGGCCAGCGTCCGTTTGTGTCTTACTGGCGACGTTGATCAGCTAGAGGTTCACCTTTGTTTATGTATTTGGGGCCACACAGAAATGTTCCATCTGCGGACAGTCATGGTTATCGATGGGGGCCAGCAGGATGGGGTGCGGGTCACAGACCTCCCGAGTCCCCTTGCTGCCCACCGACGGCAGCCTTCACGCGGCAGGGGCTGTCACCGGGGCCCCCAGCCTCGTCTCAGCAGTCCAGGCCAACTAACAGAACACCGCAGGCCTGGTGGCTTTGAACAACACTCATTCCTCACAGATCTGGGGATTGGACGTCCATGATCAGGGTGTCGCGGGCTGAGTGCCCCCGGGTGTCCAGGAGCTCGCGGCGCTCACGCGGCCGTCACCTGCGGGTGCGTGCCCAGCGAGCTCGCTGGCGTCTCTGCGTGTGAAGCCACCAATCCCACCGCAGCCCCAGTGAGCCGGGTGCCGACGCCTCCCAGCTGGGACCCTGCACCCAGGTCGTCCCTGCACAACCCCTCGGCCGAGAAGCCGCCCTTGCTGGGGCCGGTCCCACCCCATGAGCGGCCCGCGAGGAGTCGGCCCAGGGCTGGCCATCACGGAGCGGGGACACAGGACAGCCCTGCGCCCCCCACGCCCGCCGCCACACACGGCTCCTCAGAAGGCAGCCCGCCCCGGAGCCCAGGAGCATTTCTCAGGCGGGAGACGCAGACACACGGGTTTCAGACAGCACGGTCACTGACAGCCTAAGGAGAGGCTTTGGGTCGCCCGACGGATTGCTCCCAGGAGCTTATTTTGGGGGCACAGGCAAAACGGACTTGTGATGAACATCGGAAACAAACGGTGCTCCTGGAAACGTGTGTCGTCCCTCTCCTTGCCCGACGGACCCCCATGTTCATCGCTGGTGCAACAGTCCCAGAAAACACAACTCGCTCAGCGAAGCTGACTCCAGTCTGAGCCCCGTCAAAAACAGGGGAGGGGGCTGCACGCTGCTGACCACTCGCCGAATCCCATGCCCATGCAGGCCCAGCAGGCCAGTGAACGCCCCCGCGCCGGGGCTGAGCCCACCCCTCCAGCACCGTTGGGCGAAGCAAGGAGGCTGAGCCCGGAGCCCCAGCAGCCCACGCACCTGTTCCTCACAGGCACAGGCCGGGCTGCCCCTCAGGCAAGTGCTCACAGAAAGGCCTGGTTCGCACCCTGCTCCTAAGTGAAAGGAAAAGGACAGAAGCCCACCGACCCACCAGACCCCCTCGCAGCTCCCCCCTCGAAGGCACTGCTGTCCCCAGCCGGCTCCCGTTACCAGGGTGCTCTGCCCGCCACAGCGCTGGGCCCCGCCTGGAGCCACACAGACTTGTGCTCGCACACACACAGACACAGGTGTGCACGCACACCCCTACACACACATGTACCCTCACACATACTCATAACTTCACACACACAGGCACTCTCGCACACACACTAACACAGCTGCACACACACACCCTTACAACGCACTCATAACGTCCCACGAGTGCACCCTCACACGTGCCAGCACACACGTGTGCCCTCACACACGTGCACACTCATGGTCACATGAGTCGTCACACATCACGATGCTCACGCCCCGTCGCACACCTGCTCATACACTCACACACCCTCCCCCACACACTCGCGAAGCAGTGCTCCACGCCTCCCCTGGGTGGACGGCCTGCGGCCTTCTTAAATTCTCTGCGCCCATTTTCAGCCCTTGGCTTGCGGTGTTTGTCCTTCGTACACTTCACGTTCTCTAATCTCTGCTGGAGAAATGTGTTTGACATCGGGGAGTGTTTGCTTTCCAAGTTCCAGGTGGGCATGTCGGTGGCCAAGCACAGTGTATCCTGGACCAGAGCCACCGTGCGGGGACAGGGCGGGGTGTGCTCCCCAAACCATGACGGCAAACAAAGGGAGGCCCGACAGGGCCCTTCCCCCAGGGCTCCGCCCCGAGCTGTTCCAGAATCCGCCCCCCCCCCCCGGGGCTGGGCCAGGCACTCCCACGTCTACCTGCTGAGTGTGAAGCCCGCACCCCCACCGCCCTCCCGAGCTCGGCGTGGCCGTGGACCACGAGGTCTGCCCTCAGCAGCCCCTCGCCCGAGGGCCCCGCCCCTCACCCGGCCTCCGATGTCCTCCGCGGCCCGGGGACAGGAGGCCCCGCACACCGGCCAGAGAGCTCAGCCGCTCTGGCGGATCCGACCTCGACCCTGCTGCTCGGCATTCCTGCTGCCAGAGCAGTTTTCTGCGGCCGCAAACGTCCTTCCTCAGGGAGAGCAGGAAGGATAGTCACGCAGGGACCCGCGGTGCAGACCATCCCGCTGTCCACAGAAAGGTGGGGACGGTACCACGGGGCTCTCCCTGTCCTGCTCCTTGCAGATCATGTGATGTTAAATAAGCTGTAAATAAAACCAGGCCCCCGTGGGGCTGTTCGTGTTGATTTAACCATAACGCTTTGGGTTGCTGTTTTTTTCATTTCCAATTCTGTTCATCTTCTAGGGCTGCTGGAACAAATCACAACAAACTTGGTGGCTTAAAACCACAGAATCCGTAATCTCTCACAGTTCTGGAGGCCAGGAGTTCAGAATTAAAGGGTGGGCAAGGCTGGTTTCCTCTGAGGCTCCAGGGGACGGTCCCAATCCTTCTAGCACCTTCTGCCTCCCATGGCTCCCGCGGCTCCCAGGCTTGTGGCCACGTCCTCCACTGTCTGCCTCCATCTTCACCTGCACACCTGCCCCGTGTCCCAAATCCACCCCCCACAAGGACACCCAGTCACCGGATTTAGGGCAGACCCCAAATCCAGGAGGCTCTCCTCCTGAGAGGCTCAACTTAATACGACTTGAAAGATCCTATCTGGAAAGGAGGGCAATCCTGAGGCACTGGATACAAATTGGGGGGGGGGGGGGCACTACTTAACCTACTACAGCAGTCCTCCATGTTCGTCCTAAAGTTATGATCGCAGTAAATTTTGGCCTCAGCGTGTGGTGCTGAGGGAAGCAGCATCTGACTCCAGGGCCGCACCCCAGAGACCTCGCATCTCCGCCCTCAGGAGCGCTCTTCCCTAGCCTGGTCCGGAGGCCAGCGAGGGGGACAGCACCCGGGCTGCTGCGGCCAGCATCCCACCCCCACGGCCAGGCCTCAGGCGCTCTCCTCTGGGCCCAGCCCCCAACCAACCCAACCACGGCCCCAGAAAGCCCAGACCTCAAACCCCATCCCCCGGGGTCCACCATCTGTCTGGGGGTGGGGGCAAGCCCAGAGCCAGCCACCCCCTGTGTTCCCCCGTCCTCCCCATCAGTGCCACCCAGCCACCTCCTGGGGTCCTGTGTCATGCACCTGCATGGCCGCCCGCACCCCCAGCTATACAGCTCCCCTCATCTGCACAATCACAACCTTGCCACAGACGCCCTGACCCCAGGCCAGACACCTGCTGACTTACAAACCTGCTTGTGCCTCACATAACACCAGACAGAGCTTTCCAGAAGGCTGGTCTTGCTGGGTACTGGCTCCATGAAGACACCCCTCGGCCCTGGGGCCTGGCCCTTAGCCACACTCCCGGCCCCGTGCACTCCACACCTGCCCACTGCACGCCCCACACTCCAGCCACATAGTCTCCCTCCTCACTGGGCAGTCGGGGATGCAACGGGTTAATGCAGGGGCCCCAACATTCTGGGTGGGTGTTCATCACGAACAAAGATAACCCAATGGTGACCGTCTCTCGGGGCCGGGCC